GTTCCTCTCAAAGGATTCATTTTATTTATTTATTTAGACACAGGGTCTCAGTTTTTTTGCCCAGGCTGGAGTGCAGTGGCACAGTCATAGCTCACTGCAGCCTCAAATTCCTGGACTCAAGCAATCCTCCTATCTGACCCTCCTAAGTAGCTGGGACCACAGGTGTGTGCCACTATGCTGAGCTAAACTTTTTTTGTTGTTAGTTTTGTTTTTTTTTGTTAGATACAGGACCTCACTATGTTGCCCAGACTGACCTCAAAAACCTGGACTCAAGCAATCTTCCCACCTCAGCCTCCCAGAGTGTTGGGATTATAGGCATGAGCCACCACACCTGGCCTCAGAGGATTCTTTAGGTAGTCACAGGTTTAGTCACAGGTTTGGCCCTCAGTGAAAGCAGGTGTTGCTGAGAAAAGGCATCGGTTTTGATAACAGCTGCCATGAATCGGTGTCCCATGTCCTAGGCATTCTTGTTATCATCTTACTTAATCCTTCAGTACCCCTGCCATTTGCAAGTGGCCAAAGTACAAAATATTTAATAGGGGAAAATATAGGCATTCCTTGTTATACGTTACTTTACCCCTGCAATAACCCCTTTTTTTGACATCGCTAGAGAATAACGTGTTACACATTTTTAGATAAGATTAAAAAGAGAGAGTAACACTCCTGCTCACCTAGAGGATTCTGGCCAGTACAATTGTCTGCAACAAAGTTCATAACCATCATTATTATAAGACACAGCACTAAAACTGTTACTAAAACGCAACACTTCAAACGTAGGGAGACCCTTAAAACACATAGTTAGCCCTCTTTTCCTCTTATTTACTGCAATTCTGGACTATCTGGTAGCCCATAAAACAGAAGGGAACAGAAAATGTTCAAGGCAGACATCATGATATCAGAAAGGAAAGATAAAATCTTTTTGAAAAGCAAGTCTGAAAAGATCTCCTAAACCCCAACACCACTGCAAGGCTGATGTCCATCTTCCCCATCAGATTATGAGATTCCTGAAGGCAGGAACTGTGCTGCCTCTAGACTCCTAACACATACTCTAGGTCCTCAATAAAGTCTTAAGGATGGGAGAGGCAGGAAAGAAAGCAGAAAGCAAACTGAAAAGAACATTCTTTAAAAAATCTTGCTAAAAATGCCCCTATTGGCTAATCCTAAGGGCAACTTTTTTTCTTTTTCCTTCTTTTTTTTGAGACAGGGGCTCACCCTGTTGCCCAGGCTGGAGTGCAGTGGTGCAATCACAGCTCACCGAAGCCTTGACCTCCTGGGCTCAAGCGATCCTCCCACCTCAGCCTTGCTAGTAGCTTGGACCATGGGCCCATGCCACCATATCCAGCTAATTTTTAAATTTTTTTGTAGAGACCGAGTTTCACCAGGTTGCCCAGGCTGGTCTCAAACTGCTAGGCTCAAGTGATCTACCCGCCTCAGCCTCCCAAAGTGCTGGGATTACAAGTGTGAGCCACTACACCTGGCTCCACCTTTTTTCTATAGAAATAAATCCCTCGGCTGGGCGTGTGGCTCACGCCTGTAATCCCAGCACTTTGGGAGGCCGAGGCGGGCGGATCACGAGGTCAAGAAATCGAGACCATCCTGGCCAACATGGTAAAACCGCGTCTCTACTAAAATCACAAAAATTAGTCAGGCGTGGTGGCATGCGCCTGTGGTCCCAGCTACTCGGGAGGCTGAGGTGGAAGAATCGCTTGAACCCAGGAGGTGGAGGTTTCAGTGAGCTGAGATTGCGCCACCGCACTCCAGCCTGGTGACAGAGCAAGACTCCGTCTCAAAAAAAAAAAAAAAAAGAAAGAAAGAAAGAAATCCCTAACTAAATAACAAAATTGTGTGACTAAGAGAGAGAGGATACATAGATTTTCCCTGTAATAACTATTTCATAAAGCAAAAGGAAACTTGCAAAGAAAAAGACAAATATTAGGAGAAGAAAATAGCCCATATCTTTGTTTCAAGCATCCAAATAGAGGTATCACTTCTTTTCTTCTCCAGGAACACCTTGAAGAAGCCCTAAAAAGATTATACCTTCATTCTGAAATGTTCAGTTTCCAGTTGGCAATAAGATTAACAATAGAAACATTTCATTTCTAGGCCAAATGCTGTGGATTACACCTGCAATCCCAGCACTTTGGGAGGAAAGGCAGGTGGATCACTTGAGCCCAGGAGTTCAAGACTAACAGAGCCAGAGCATTGCCATCTTCGACAAGCACTGCCATTTTAAAGTTCTCCTTGATTGAAAACCACCTAAATCCAAAGGGCATCAGCCTAATGGCTAATGTCACCATGACCATAAACCACAAGTGTCATCTCCCACCAGAAACATTCCAACCTTAAGATAAATCCCTCCTCAACCAGAGACATGCCACCCCAAGATAACCTCTGACCAGAGACATTCTAACACTGCAATAAACTTCTTCACACAGAAACATTTCAAGCATGTGATAAGCTCTCTCGTCCTAAAACCCTTAAATATTCTTTTTTATTTTTTTTTTGAGACGGAGTTTCGCTCTTGTTACCCAGGCTGGAGTGCAACGGCGCGATCTCGGCTCACCGCAACCTCCGCCTCCTGGGTTCAGGCAATTCTCCTGTCTCAGCCTCCTGAGTAGCTGGGATTACAGGCACGCACCACCATGCCCAGCTAATTTTTTGTATTTTTAGTAGAGACGGGGTTTCACCATGTTGACCAGGATGGTCTCGATCTCTTGACCTCGTGATCCACCCACCTCAGCCTCCCAAAGTGCTGAGATTATAGGCTTGAGCCACCACGCCCGGCTAAATATTCTTATTCTGTAAGAGAGTGTGCTCTTGACTGAAATTGGTCAGAAGCCCCTCTCAGGTTTATTCCCCAAAATAAACCTGTCTTTGACTGTTGAGATGCTTTTCATGTTTCTTTCCTCTTTCTTTAACTCTTACAGAGACCAGTCTGGGCAACATGGCAAAACCCCACCTCCACAAAAAATAAAAAAATTAGTTGGGTTTGGTGGCATGTGCTTGTAATCCCAGCTACTCAGGAGACTGAGGTGGCAGGGGTGGGAGGATCACTTGGACCCAGGAGGGGCTCGAGGCTGCAATGAGCCATGTCCACACCACTGCATTCCAATCTGGGTGACGAAGGGAGACCCTGTCTCAAAAACAAAAACAACAAGAATAACAACAAAAAGAAAACATTCCATTCCTTTGTTATCAATACCAAGTAGCATTTAATTGTGTGAGGCAACAGTAAGACAAAGTGAATTACAGTCTGTCCTGTTCCCATGGCTCATCTGGACAGTCTCACTGGCTGTGATTCACTTTTCCCGGAAGTTTTGGTGAACCAAATGAAGCCAGTCATGAGCTGCCCTGGAGTATTTCCTGTATAGAAATTAATGTACTTCAGCTATATAAAAAAACTTTAATGTAAAACATCCTGCCATAACTACTTGTTTTAAAAACAATGTTGAAGTAGCTTATTTTTTTCCACAATTATTTCTATGTAAGAAAAGCCATCAAAGCATAAACCAAAAATAAAATTCTGAGGCTCCCCCAACCATCTAAAAGGACTTGCTCCTCAGCCAGGGCTCTTAAAATGTAACGTGAAGGACTGGTTCAGGCCATGAAGGGAAATGGGGGTCCGACATGCCTCGTTATGCCTCTCTGCCATTCACATCAACATAGACTTTAAGTTTGATAAGAAGCATTTTACAGTTGGTTCTCTCTGAAACCTGCCAGCTAAAAGCTTCATCTGCGGCCAGGTGCAGTGGCTCATGCCTGTAATCCCAGCACTTTGGGAGGCTGAGGTGGGTAGATCATGAGGTCAGGAGATTGAGACCATCCTGGCCAACATGGTGAAACCCCATCTCTACTAATATACAAAAAATTAGCTAGGTGTGGTGGTGAGCGCCTGTCGTCCCAGCTACTTGGGAGGCTGAAGCAGGGGAATCGCTTGATCCCAGGAGCCAGAGATTGCAGTGAGCAGAGATCATGCCACTGCACTCCAGCCTGGCTACAGAGTGAGACTCTGTCTAAAAAAAAAAAAAAAAAGCTTCATCTGCATGATAAAACTTTGGTCTCCACAACTTCTTATCACCCAAACATTACTTTTTACTGATACCAGGTCTGTAGACAAACTCAACTAATTGTCAACCAGAAAACGTTGACATTTACCTATAGACTGGAAGCCCCCTTCACCCCACTTTGAATTGTCCTGCCTTTCTGGACCAAACCAATGTATTTATTAAATGTACTTGATTGATGTCTCATGTCTCCCTAAAATGCATAAAACCAAGCTCCACCCGAACCACCTTGGGCACATGTTGTCAGGACCTCCTGAGGCTGTGTCACAGGCATATCCTCAACCTTGGCAAATAAACGTTTTTTTTTTTTTTTTGAGACGGAGTCTCACTCTGTCACCAGGCCGAAGTGCAGTCGCGCGATCTCAGTTCACTGTAACCTCTGCCTCCCAGATTCAAGCAATTCTCCTGCCTCACCCTTCCAAGTAGCTGGGACTACAGGCACAGGCCACCATGGCCAGCTAATTTTTGTATTTTTAGTAGAGATGGGGTTTTACCATGTTGGCCAGGATGGTCTTGATCTCTTGGCCTTGTGATCTGCCTGCCTTGGCCTCCCAAAGTGTTGGAATTACAGGCATGAGCCACCACGCCCAGCCTAAATTTTCTAAATTAACTGAGACCTATCTGATTTTCTGAGGTTCACAAAACTAAACCCAGAAGCACAGACCATCATAATCTCTCATTAGCCCCTGCTTTGGTTCATGTTTATATTCTTAAAGTTTGTTCATTCATTCAACAGGTACTTACTGAGCATCTATTTTGTGTCAGCCCACAAGCCAGCTTTTTCAATAGACATCATCTCTGTCCTCATGAAGCTAACAATCTATTAGGAAACATGGATTTTAATCCAGTAACCACAAAAATAATTAAGTATAATCTGCTTTAAGTGCTATGAAGAAAAAGTACTAAGTGTTATTAAGGTAAAAACTGACAACTGACCTTATCTAGAGGAATCGGGAAAGGTTTCGCTGAGAAAAGAGATTGGACAGTGACATCTGATGTTTCCGGCATTTGGAATCACATGTTCAAGGACCCTGCTGCTGAAGCACAGAGCTTGGGAGGATCACTGGAGAAAAAATTGCAAACGTAGTTGTGAGGCCGGTTGCCTCGCCAGGAGTCAAACGGACTCACTCTCCGCACCTGATAACTACGTCATCACCCAAGCTTGTTATCTGGCCTCACCACATGGCTTCCCGCACCCGCCTCTGCATACCATACCCAAGCCCACACTCAGCACTAAACTATGCATCCAACCCCCAACCCGCTGTTGAAAAACCCTGCAGAAAAAAATTTTTAAAAGCCTCACCAAGCCCTGCCCAGTAGCAGTCTGCCCCGTAGGCCCCCAGCTGGCCCACTTACCCAAAGTCCTGCCCGCCTACCAATAGCAACTAGTTCCATGTACTTCCTGCTTCTCAACAGCCAATAAAATTGCCTTCACTTTATTTCCCCAATAACCAATCAAAGCCCACTTACCCAAAGTCCCACCCACCTACCAATAGCAACTAGCTCCATATACTCCCTGCTTCTCAACAGCCAATAAAATTGCTTTTGCTTTGTCTCCCCAATAGCCAATCAATTGCCTTCCCTCCCCATAAAACCCCATGCCCTAAACAGCCAAACACAACTTCTTTAGCCCCTTCCTGAACCACAAAACATCACCCAGAAGCTAAATAAATTAGCTTCTCATTTTCTTATACTTGCCTCAGTTTCCTCATTTTACCTCAGCAATAAACCTTACAGTAGTTATAGGAGATGAAGCTGCAAAAATGTTCACAAGGACTTACAGCCAGGTTAGGGATTTTGGACTAAATCCCAAAACATCATGAAGCCAGTAAGGAGTTTTAGACAGAACAGGAATATGATCAGATTTCCATTTTGAGAAGATCGCTCAGAAGAATATTTATTACAGGGTCTCTCTATGTTGCCCAGACTGGTCTTGACTCCTGGACTCAAGCAATCCTCCTGCCTCAACCTCCCAAAGTGCTGCTATTATAATGAGCCACTGCACTCAGACTTGAATAGGATATATATATATATGTTTTGAGACGGAGTCTCACTCTGTTGACCTGTCTGGAGTGCAGTGGTGCTAACTTGGCTCACTGCAACCACCACCTCCCAGGTTCAAGAGATTCACCTGCCTCAGCCTCCTGAGTAGCTGGGATTACAAGGTGCCTGCCACCATGCCCAGCCAATTTTTTGTATTTTTTGTAGAGATGGGGTTTCACCATGTTGGCCACGCTGCTCTTGAACTCCTGACCTCGTGATTCGCCTGTCTTGGGCTCCCAAAGTGCTGAAATTGCAGGCGTGAGCCACCGCACCTGGCCTTGAGTAGGATTTAGAAGAGTGAATACAATGAGACTAGAAATCAATGACAAATATTTGAGTAAGAGATGATGGTAATTGGCATAGGGTGTTGGCATTGAGTATGAAGAACATTGAAAGTTTTAAGAAGTGTTTAGAAGGCAAGATTGATGGTTGTGATTAACTGTAAGTGGTTTACTTGACAGTAATTTTATTTATTTATTTATTTATTTGCCCCATCAGTGCTCATAGTGAATTGGCAGTAATTTCAGAGAAGAAGAATATTATTCTCATAATGCTTAAGAGGTAACAAGTTAGAATGGGAAAAGCCTGGGTTGTAGAAGCAAAAGTATATTCAATTTTCATCTCTTGCTCCTTGTTAGCTGTGTAGTTTTGGACTTGTTATTTAACTTCTCTGAGCTTTAATTTATTTATAAGTAACTCATGTTAATGTCACTCTATAAACTCAGATGTGCAAGAAATATCTTGACTTTTTAAAAAGTCAACAAACTAGCTTTTGGCCAGGCATGGTGGCTCACACCTGTAATCCTAGCACTTTGAGAAGCTGAGGGAGGAAGATCACTTGAGGTCAGGAGTTCCAGACCAGCCTGGCCAACATGGTGAAACCCCATCTCTACTAAAAATACAAACATTAGCCTGGCATAGTGTCACATGCCTGTAGTCCCGGCTACTCAGGAGGGGCTGGGACAAGAGAATCGCTTGAACCCAGCAGGCGTAGCCTCCCCAGCTACTCAGGAGGCTGAGACAGAAAAACTGCTTGAACCTAGGAGGCGGAGGTTGCAGTGAGCCGAGATCGCGTCACTGCACTCCAGCCTAGACAGCAGAGTAAGACTCTATATCAAAACCAAAAAGAAAAGAAAGGAAGAAAAGTAAATAAGAAAAAAAGAAAAGAAAGTAAAGGAATAAATAATAAAAGAATGGATAGGACTGCTGGTTGCCCTTTTACTTTTTTGATGATATGCTAAACAAGGGGTGGATTATTTATGCCTCCCCTTTTTAGACTCTGTAGGGTAACTTCCTGACGTTGCCGTGGCATTTGTAAACTGTCATGGCGCTGCTGGAAGTGTAGTAGTGAGGACAAACAGTGGTCACTCTCTTGACCATTTTTGGTTTTGGTGGGTTTTGGCCAGCCCCTTTACTGCAAACTGTTTTCTTTTTTTTTTCGAGATGGAGTCTCACTCTGTCACCCAAGGTGGAGTGCAGTGGCATGATCTCGGCTCACTGCAACCTCTGTCTCCCAGGTTCAAGTGATTCTTCTGCCTCAGCCTCCGGAGTAGCTGGCACATGCCATCATGCCCAGCTAATTTTTGTATTTTTAGTAGAGATGGGGTTTCACCAGGTTGGCCAGGCTGGTCTCGAACTCCTGACCTCGTGACCCCCCGCTTCAGCCTCCCAAAGTGCTGGGATTACAGGCGTGAGCCACTGCACCAGACCCAGCAGACTGTTTTATCAGCAAGGTCTTCATGACCTGTATTTTGTGCTGACCTTTTATCTCATCCCGTGACTTAGAATGTCTCACTCATCTGGGAATGCCGCTCAATAGGTTTCAGACTCATTTTACGCAGCTCCTGTTTAGGATGGAGTTGCTCTGGTTCACAGGCCTCTGACACAGGGAATCTTTCATTTCCACCACATGACCTTTCAGAGGAACCCTCTTCTCTCACTAACTCCTGAACACCTCAAATGTTTCCACTAAACACCCTCTTTGGCGGATGGTTGGGAGGATAACATGAGTAATTCTAGCTAAGTCTGATACATTGTCATCCCCCTTCCCTTAAGATCCAGGAAAGGTGATACATTTCAGAAACAGAAAGAAAAAGAAGTTCAAGATAGAACCATGTCCTAAAAATGGCATTTGGAAGGACAGAAGGTAGTAACAACCCTTCCAGCCTCAGAGCTGTGCTGTTGCTGGTTCTTGTAAGGTCTTTTAGGCTGACTGACACCGTGGACACCATGATAACCTCTGTGACCTGCATAGACACTCCAGATGAGTTCTTGGAACTAGAAAGTCTGAAGTAACTGGAAGACCACGAAAAGGGGAAGAATGATCAATCCCTGTGGAGCCTAATTAACTTGAGACTTTCTTCTATTGTTCCTTATTCCTGCCTCAATTGATAAAGCATTGGACTTTGTAGCTAGACCCTACCACTCCCTCCCAGCTTGCAAAAACTGCCTTAAACTGTAACTTTTGTAACTTTCCACTACCTACCCCAAACCTATAAAACTAACCCCAATCCACCGCCCTCTGCTGACCCTCTTATCAGACTCAGCCTGCCCGCTCCCTGGTGAACCAACAGCCATGTTGCTCACACAAAGCCTTTTTGGTGGGGCCTCTTCATTCAGAGCACACATTTAACAGTTCTCAGCCCAGCACAGTGGCCACATGGACGTAGTATTGTGAGACAGAACCCTAAGAACCAAGCTGGCAGACTCAAGGCTGAGGTTACTTTCTACCAGTCCTTGAAGGGGCAGCTGTTGAAAGAGGAAGGGCAGTGGGCACCGAGTCAGGGTAAACATGGGGTTGATCTTGACATGGAAACACAGGAGAGAAAGTGGGCCAGGGAAGAAAGGAAAGGTGGGCAACTGTGTCTTTTCTCCCAGTGTCACTCTTTGCTTGTGTCCCTCTTTGTGTCTCTTTCCACATTCCAACATCTGGTCAGATTTTTCTCCATAGCAGTGTAAACCCAACACGTGTACTCAGGGAAGAAAACGATATCCTTAAGTTGTTCTCAGTCTATTCAGGCTTGTTTTGATGTTCTGGTGGGTTCTCAGGTCTCTACCAGGGAGGTAGAGGGAGAACTGCAAGGGCCAAGAGGATGGGGACTAAGCTCTGATTTTTAAAACTTGCCCAAATTCCTATCTAAGGGGTTTAGGGAGTCATGCCCTACAAACCATAAATTCTCATCAGATGGGTTTCATTTAATGCTATATATCATGACTTACTTTCCAATCTGACTCTGGTGTAACATTATGAGAAAGGAAAAGAATCAAAATATTTAATCTCAAAATGTAGTTCCCTGCCATACCTTGAAATTGCCCTGTAAAGTCTCGTGTGGAAAAATCCACATTCTATAGAGAAGCCCCTTTCCCCTTCGTTTTCCTTCTTTACTTCCCGGATCCAGGAGATAATCAGCTAAGAGCCAGGCACCCTTTTATGTCCGATAAGACACATTTTACACCTGCTTTCTCTCTGAAGTCTGCTATCTGAGAGATTCCTCTGCACAATAAAACTTCGTCTCCACAACCCCTTATCTTAACCCGGACATTCCTATCTATTGATCCCAGGTCTTTAGACAAATTCAATCGTCAACCAGAAAATGTTTAAATTTACCTATAGCCTGGAACCCCTGCTTTGAGGAGTCCTGCTTTTCTGAACAAAACCAATGTATTTAAGTGTATTTGATTGATGTCTCATGCCTCCCTGAAATATATAAAACCAAGCTTGGGCACATGTTCTCAGGACCTCCTGAGGGCTGTGTGACAGGCTGTGGTCACTCATATTTGGCTCAAAATAAATCTCAAAATATTTTACAGAGTTTGACTCTTGGTTGAAAATATTTTGGCATCCAAATACGTGGGGCCTCAGAGAAGACTCAGGATCCCGAAGGAGTTGCCCAAAACCAGAGTTAAGGTACCAGCATGGGCCCACTGAAGCGCCACTGAGTTCAAGCTTGTCCCTTCCAGCTCCAGACGGAGTTCCCCCTTTGGTTGATGGTCCTTGATTTATTCTGAGCTGGTTTTCTCCTAGGAAGTTGTTG